TCCAGTTCCTCCCATAAATGTTCAATTGGGTTTAAATCAGGAGATTGTGGCGGATGTGGCAAAACATGTGCCGTGTTATATGCCAGCCACATTTTAACAACGTGGGCCGAATGCTTGGGATCGTTGTCGTGTTGAAAAGTAAAGTTGGATGGTGAGTTTAGGTTTTCGGCGCTTTTTTTGAGGTTTTCCTTTAATATGCCTAAATAAACTGTTTTGTCCATTATCCCATCTATGAATACTAATTCGCCCACGCCGGCAGCAGACATGCAGCCCCATACCATCACTCCCCCGCCGCCATGTTTAACTGTTGCTGCAAGGTTTTTTTTTTCGAAGGCAGTATTTGGCTTGCGCCACACAGTAACTTTGCCATCTGAGCGAAAAATATTAAATTTGCTTTCATCAGAAAATAGTACTTCGTCCCAGAAAACGGATGGCTTAGTTTTATACATATTTGCGTACTCCAAACGTTTAATCTTATTGGCAGAGGAAACAAGTGGCTTACGTCTAGCAACACGTGCACTGTAGTTGGCCTCATGCAGTACCCTTCTGATAGTCATTGGGTGTACCTCTTTTCCAAATTCATTTTTAACCTCAGCAGTTATTTGTGTAGATGTTATTTTTGGGTTCTTTTTAATTTTACGCACTATATCGCTCCGTTCGCGGTCACTTAAAGCCCGAGGGCGGCCTTGTCGCGCATAGTTTTCAAGGCTTTGCGATCCTTTAAAGCGTTGTACAATGCTGCGAATCGTGAAACGACTTCTTTCCATCATTTCACCTATCTCAGCATAAGATTTACCTTGCTTATGCAGATATAAAATTATTTTGCGTTCAGATTCAGTGGTTTCTTTTTGTTTTGGACTCATATTTGACTTTTTCTTATTGTTTAGGACAAAATGCAAGTTTTAATTCGACAAATATCTGTGATTTTAAATAACGGTAGGTTGCAACACATGTTCTTGCTAATAGCGTTGCCAGATGGGTAAAAGCATAAAAATAAATCGAGCTAAAAACTAAGTGTGCCAATACTTTTGTGCCAGAAAAATGTGCCATTTTTTATTTAAATAATTTAATAAAATTACTGTTATGTTTTTGTTACAAAACTTTAACTGATTTTTGTAGGAAATTAACTGGCTTATACAGGAAAATTAATTTGCATGGATGTTTGTTACCAAAAACGGACGCAAAATGGTTGCAAAGTAGAACATGCTTGCTGTGCCAATACTTATGTGTGTTTCTATTCAAGTCTCTACCTCTTATTGGTTCTGAGATCCTTGCGTTCATACATACGGACAGACGGACGGACATGGCTAAATCGACTCGGCTGTTGATGCTGATCAAGAATATATATACTTTATGAGGTCGGAGATGCTTTCTTCTGCCTGTAACATACATTTGCACAAACACATTATACCCTTTTTACCTATGTACATATTTTCAAATCTACTCTTTTTATTTCCTGTTCCGAGTATAAAAACCAGAGGTCGCAAATAACAGTCAACACTTATTTTCAATGCGGTCGGGTCTCGAATAAACAGAAAAAAACGAAGCAAATTCGGTTTTGCTCTCCATCGAACACTTTATTTCGTAGCAAATGTGTACACTGTTTGTGCTTTTGCTTGAGAAATACCGCTGTTATGTCTAACAGTAAGATCTTAACAGGACACATTCGGTCGGTCGCACAGAAATGTGTGGTATTTGAAGAGCAAAACGAACAAAGTGGAAGCGAAACGTGTTGTTGTAGTGTGACGATATCAATGAAAACGAGAAAGAAGTGCTATCTTCGGCACGCCGAAGATTTAATACCCTTGCAGACCCAACCATTTCAAAATGCTCATAGTGCTTTGCCCGTATCTAAGAAGCACAGGAAAAATAGTTAATGCCGAGTATGGTTAAGATATCTTGAAAAACAAAACAGGTTTCCATACAACAACTTAATTTTCGACCGATCGTTCCTATGGCAGCTATATGATATAGTTGTCCGATCTTAATAGGATTTTGCATATATATGGGGAGCATAGTAAAAGAAATAAATGCCGAGTTTGGTCAAGATATCTCGAAAAACATAAAAATTTTCCATACAAAATCTTAAATTTCGACCGATCGTTCCTATGGCAGCTATATGATATAGTTGTCCGATCTTAATAAAATGTTGCATATATATGGGGAGCGTAGTAAAACTAAAAAAAAACCGAGTTTGGTCAAGATATCTTGAGAACATAAAAATTTGCCATACAAAAACTTAATTTCCGGCCGATCGTTCCTATGGCAGCTATATGATATAGTTGCCCGATCTTAATAAAATGTTGCATATATATGGGGAGCGTAGTAAAACTAATAAATACCGAGTTTGGTCAAGATATCTTGAAAAACATAAAAATTTTCTATACAAAAACTTAATTTTCGACCGATCGTTCCTATGGCAGCTATATGATATGGTTGCCCGATCTAAATAGAATTTTGCATATATATGGGGAGCTTAGTAAAACTAATAAATACAGAGTTTAGTCAAGATAACTTTATAAACAAAAATGTTTTTCATACAAGAACATACTTTTCGACCGATCGTTTATATGGCAGCTATATGATATAGTGGTCCGATCCAGCTGGTTTTGACATATGAACTGCGTGCAAAAGAAAGAGGGAATTCTGCAAAGTTTCATAAAAATAGCTTTAAAACTGAGAGACTAGTTCGCATAGAAACAGACAGACGGACAGACGGACATGGCTATATCAACTCGGCTGTTGATACTGATCAAGAATATATATACTTTATGGGGTCGGAGATGTCTCCTTCTATGCGTTAAACATTTCACGACAAAATTATAATACCCTCTGCAAGGGTATAACTAGAGCGAGAGAGAGAGAGAGAGAGTGAAAGAGAGTGTATGACATAATACAGTTAAGAAGTAGGCAAGCTATTTTATATATGTATGTGTACATGCATATATTCAAAGATTTAAGAAAACACCCATTAAATAATTTATAGTTTGTTTATATATGTATGTATGTATGTATGTTTATGTGTATGGTTATTTTTATTAAATATTAAGCTTAACAATTAAAAATGCATGCAATTTTATTAGACACACACAAGCACAAAAGACACTTTGGCAGCAATTTTTTTCTGTTCAGTGTTCGTGGAATAACATTCCCGAAAAAAATACGAAGAAAAGTGTCTTTGCTCGTGCCAGAGTCTGCTACATATGTATGTATGTATGTATAAACAGAACTTTGTGTGTTTTCTTTCTCCTTTATTCATTCTGTCTGACAATAACTGTTATTTTACAGACAACCCGAAAGTGTTGACTGTTGTTTGCGACCTCTGCTGTAAATTTGGCAACAGCAGTTCGTCGCCGACATGAGCACTGTTGTTATACCCCTGAAGGAGACATCTCCGACCCCATAAAGTATATACATATATGTATTCATGATCAGTATCAACAGCCGAGTCGATATAGCCATGTCCGTCTGTCTGTTTCTATGCGAACTAGTCTCTCAGTTTTAAAGCTATCTTTATGAAACTTTGCAGAAGTCCCTCTTTCTGCTGCACGCAGTTCATATGTCAAAACCAGCTGGATCGGACCACTATATCATATAGCTGCCATAGGAACGATATGTGAAAAAGTAGGTTCTTGTATACAAAACATTTTTGTTTATAAAGATATCTTGACCAATCTCGGCATTTATTTGTTTTACTATGCTATTTTTATATATTCAAAATCCTATTAAGATCGGACTACTATATCATATAGCTGCCATAGGCACGATCGGTCGAAAATTAAGTTGTTATATGGAAAATTTGTTTGTTTTTCACGATACCTTGACCAAACTCGGCATTTATTTCTTTTACTATGCTCTTCATATATGTATATGAAAAATCCTATTACGATCGGACCTCTATATCATATAGCTGCCATAGGAACGATCGGTCGAAAATTAAATTGATGTATGGAAAATTAATTTGTTTTTCGCGATATCTTGACCAAGCTCGGCATTTATTAGTTTTACTATGCTCCTCATATATATGCAAAATCCTATTAACATCGGACCACTATATCATATAGCTGCCATAGGAACGATATGTGAAAAAGTAGGTTCTTTTATACAAAACATTTTTGTTTATAAAGATATCTTGACCAATCTCGGCATTTATTTGTTTTACTATGCTATTTTTATATATTCAAAATCCTATTAAGATCGGACTACTATATCATATAGCTGCCATAGGTACGATCGGTCGAAAATTAAGTTGTGATATGGAAATATTGTTTGTTTTTCACGATACCTTGACCAAACTCGGCATTTATTTCTGTTACTATGCTCTTCATATATATGCTAAATCCTATTAAGATCGGACCACTATATCATATATCTGCCATAGGAACGATCGGTCGAAAATTAAATTGATGTATGGAAAATTAGTTTGTTTTTCGCGATATCTTGACTAAACTCGGCATTTATTAGTTTTACTATGCTCCTCATATATATGCAAAATCCTATTAAGATCGGACCACTATATCATATAGCTGCCATAGGAACGATCGGTCGAAAATTTAGTTGTTATATGGAAATATTGTTTGTTTTTCACGATATCTTGACCAAACTCGGCATTAACTTTTTACCCTGTGTTTCTTAGATATGAACATTATGAAAAGGTTGGGTCTGCAAGGGTATTAAATCTTCGGCTAGCCGAAGATAGCCCTTCCTTCCCGTTTTTGTTTTACTTTTTTTGATGTCAGCTGTGCTTAATAGGTAAACGGAAGGTGAAGCAGCTTACGGTATCGCAATGTGCCAGGAATAGAAAGTCAAGGGTAATTAGGAAACATAGTTTTGTAAAAGATTGTCAGTTGTTGAGTGCTACCAAAAAGTATTTGAAGTTTCGTGGAAAGGTTGTTTATTAAGTTTAAGTTGTCTAGTATAAAGATGGTTACGACTTTATTCTTTAATTCGACACAATATTAACTTGCATTACTCTCGATCTCAATCCGTTTCTATTTTAGTTGCACGCATTGCGCCGCCTGATGCAGGGCAGTCCTGACCATCCAAAAGCGCCACTGGGAAATAACTATCGTCCTCCACAGCCGCTGCTGCATCGGCCCATCCGCACAAATATTGACTTTAAAACAACAAAAACAAAGGCCGCTTGTCCCACCATGTACCGTGAGGTCTATTATAAGGGTAAGTAAAACACACCTGGAGCTAAAAAGAACGCTGTAATCGAGTGTGCTCGACTACAAATTCTTTCTACCCATAGTCAATATAATATTTTGCTTATGAGACCACTCTTTTAATTCTTCATTATAGCCCAATATGAATACCATTTCAGAAAGACTACGCATTAATGCGCACGAACTCATGTGCGATTAACTGCTTAACTCACGTGGCGACAGCTCTGCTTCTTCCACCTGCGCCAAACCATTAAACACTTTATGATGAATAACTTTCTTGTTTGTTTTCCGATCTTAAGTGCATAAATATGTCATTCAAATGTGTGTATATACCAAATCTCAAGGCTCTAGCTTTACAAATGATTTGAGTGGAATTGCGGCAGGCATCAAAATTGTGGGAAGCATACTATACGAGAGCCTACGTACCAAATTCGATATGTATAGCTTTTATAATTTTTGAGTTATGTTTAAAAAATCAAGTCTCAAAATCGATTTTGATTGCTATTTTGGGAATGACAGGAGATATTGATAAATGTGAAACTCGCTTTTGTACCTTCCGATATTACCGCGGTTATACAGACGGACGGACGGACGGATATTGGCCAACAATATATATCCCTGATGGGATTCTTTCTGTTACATACATTTGTACAATCCCAATATATTATTTTTTACCCATTTTCAATGGGAATAGTATTTAAAAATGTACTCGATTGTAAGCAATAAATTCGATATCCAAATATTACAAACTTTAAAAACAATTTGTTCGGTTTTTATGTTTTCGTGTATTTTATGTAAAAATGTGCATTCGTTTTTAACATAGATTATTTTATTAACTTGACTTTAAACTCTATGTTTCTTGTTTATTCCCCTCTTACGCATGCAGCAACCAGTTGGAAACAAAACTAGAAGTCAATGCCACAACTTAAAGTTTAAAGCGTGAGACGTTAGTAACGTGTGGCTTGCAAAAGGAGCTTCCAATATATATATATATAATAAAAAATCGGAAGAGTCACAGAGGAAAGGACAGTTGAAAAGAGAGAATGATAAAGCGATCGGGAGTAAAGCAAAACAAATTAAAAACTGGCAGCGCATAACAAAATGGCAATTTAAAAAATACACATATACTACATATATAGATATACATATGAAAAGAACCCTATGAAACATAATAAGCATTAATGGTGATCATTTTTAGATCAACATTAAAAACGCCTGTTAAATGTTTTTTTTTTTTATAATGTATAAGGACATAAAGACATACATAGACATTATTCATAAAATTAACATATTTTATAATGATACAAGATGCACAGTGAGATTGTCGCAACAACAATAAGATCAAACATATAACTACAAATTAAACGTTAGCATCAAATATACATATATATCTATGACTATTTATACTCTATATTTATATAACTAATTAAAATTAACGACAACAAATAAGATGTCAGCTAGTGGATGTTACTAATATAGTAGACGCATTATGCAAGACCCACCCGTGCTATATACTGTATTTATAAATTTATACATACGTAAACTTAGACATAAATATGTATATCTTAAACACACAAATGTAGGTAAGAGCCTAAAGAGCTGTGCGAACAATCGTAACGGCCTTCCAATTTACAATTTATACTTGGCTACCATAATTATTTTTATAATTTTGTCCCAGCAGCCTGGTAATTTTTGGCAACTCCATTTTTTTAAACTTTTATGGTTTACATTAAATTTACAAGTTCCTTTTTATATCATTGTAACTTAGGTACATAGAATATGTACATACATATATCTGTCAATATAACAATCATACCAAGTTCAAAATAAATAAATTGTGCTTATTATTTGCAAAATCAAATGTGTATTACATAAAGGACTTGATTTGCAAAGCACTTAAATAACTTTTTAATTGACTCAGAAAAAAGTCGCCCAAATTCGGGTAGACGGATGATCGTATTCAAAACATACTCGAAAAACAAAAAAGTGTGCTCTAATCGAGAATGACAAAGAGATTCTACTTGCTACTTCCGTATTTACTCTCATACATACAAAAACACACAGATCATTGAATAATAACACCAAGAAACGAAATATCACTGCGAGATTTTATTACCGTTTCATACTAGATCCATTGAGTAATAATAAGAAGGAAAGGAAAAGTCACTATGAGGTTTTATTACAGTTTTAAAGTTTAATTAGGTTGGTCTGCAATAGCAAAATCAAACACAAAATGAGGTTTTGTGTGGCAAAATATTCTGTTTTCTAAGATATTTTTATCACACTCGACATTTACGTGATTAACCATTTTCACGTATCTACAAAGTCGTAAAGGAAGTGTCTGCAAGGGTATTATATCATCGGTGTGTCGAAGATAACCGTATTTTCTTGTTTATTAGAAACATTACGAGTTTGGATAGCCCGCTTGGGTATGCCCTGAACCTTCGTCTACTGACAGAAAATGCAAATTGCTTAACTTTACTTTTTTTTTATACCCTGAACCCATTGAAAATGGGTAAAAAGGATATTATGTATTTGTGCAAATGTATGTAATAGGCAGAAGGAAGCATCTCCGACCCCATAAAGTATATATATTTTTGATCAGCATCAATAGCCGAGTCGATCTAGCCATGTCTGTCTGTCCGTCCGTCCGTCCATCCGTCCGTCCGTCCGTATGTATGAACGCAAGGATCTCAGAACCTATAAGAGCTAGAGTCTTGAAATTTTAGCTGAAGGTCCTCCTAGTACCCGCGCGGGTCGAGTTTGTTTCCGATATTCAATAACTTGCCCCGTTTCCAAGTAATCGATAAAAATCGATATCGAAATCCTGTTTTTTGAGCAATTTTGGTAAATAATAAGAGCTAAAATCACCAAATTTGAATAGTATATAGTATAGAATAGAATAGTATATATATACATGTATGTATATATCAAGTATCTTTCATTTTATACCTATCGCCTGTTGGCAGAAGAGGGCTCAGGGTATCCCCTAGTCAGGAGCTCCTGACCAGAACCTCTTATTTGTTAAACCATTTAATTGGTAAAGAAGCTAGTTCCTCCTGCCGGTGTCAAACTCGCAACTGCCTTTAACCGACCGATCTACTTACCATGGCCTCTAATCTGACAGTTGTACCAAGAATTGAGTTTAATCGCTAATCATACATGAAGTAGAGTCATCAAATCGATAAATAGTAGTTGATAATTTTTCTGTGCACAGCGTGGCTGCGGTTAATTTTATATACATGTATGTTTTTTTGAATTCCTCAACGAAACAGTGATGCATGTTTGCGTGTGTAGAGGTATCTCGCTCTCTTATCACTGCATAGTTTTTCAGTATAAAACAACTCCGAGATCTACATAGAATCACATGTATGTATTGTGTGGATGTGCTTACAAGGATCAATGCGTCGTCTAGTCAGAAATTGTGCGGAGACTCTTATGGTTGTTTGTTTTGATTATTATTTCCTAAGCCCATTGAAAGTGGGTAAGAAGGGTATAATGGTTTTGGGCAAATGCTTAAAATATTCTTGGTCAGCATGAATCGTCGAGTCGATCTAGCCATCTCCGTCTCGCTATCCGCGTCGATCTCTGAATCTAATCTTTAAGATCTCATCTCTATATATAAAACTGTTTGTCCTGAATGACTGACTGATTGGTGATCAACGCACAGCCCAAACCGTAAGAGCTAAGAAGCTGAAATTTTCACTGTAGTTACCTTATGTGATGTAGGTGTACGTTAAGACGGGGCTTCGGGAAATTCTAGCCGCAAGTGTGGAAAAATCGCGGAAAACGTTTGTATGTAACTTTTTTGTTTACCATCCGATCGGCCTCAAACTTATTTTCAAAGATCTTTGTTCATTCATTCAATTCATTTGAGGGGTGCTTCACACTTTTAGGAAAATCCATTCCTCCTTGGTGGAAATAGAGGTCAAAGATTTGGTGGGTGACGTTTCGCGCTTAAATTCATTTCCAGAGATCTATAAGAAAAATCATTTGAGACGTGTTTCTCACTTTTCGCAGAATTCAAATTTCTTGGGGTTTAAGATTAAGGTTTAAAGATTTTTTGGGCGAAGTTTTAAGTTGTGTCCGATTTGCTTCAAACTTATTTTCAAAGCTCTACATAAGAACTTAATGAATACGTATTTCAGCGATTTGGGAAATTCCACCCGCAACAGTGGTAAATTGGCGGAAAACGGTTGTATGAAAGTTTTTTGTTTACAATCCGATCGGCCCCAAACTCATTTTCAAAGATCTGTGTTCAAATGTATTTGAGGGGTGTTTCACACTTTTTGAAAAATCCATCCCTCCTTGGTGCAAATGGGGGTCGAAGATTTGGTGGATGACGTTTAGTGTTCAAATTTATTTCCAAAGATTTATAGGAAAGATCATTTGAGACGGGTTTCACATTTTTCGCAAAATATAAACTCCTTCGGTGGAAAATGGATTTCAATGATTTTTTTGGTGAATTTTAAGTTTTGTCCGATTTGCATAAAAGTTGTTTGATTCCCGTCCGATCAGTTTCAAAATCATTCTCAAAGCCTTTTGAAAACATTGATTTTATAACATATGTGCCACGGGCAAGGTTATACCCGCTAGTCTAATATATAAGAGCCGAAGACTTGAAATTTTGAACGTAGGTAGTTCTAGTGTCCGTACTGCGCGATTATCATCATCTCATCGGGTCATCGATAAGCTTCCCGATTTCCCATTAAATCGATATTGAAATCCTGTTTAACAGCTAGAGTCACCAAATTTAAGATGTAGCTTCTAGTATAGCACATACAGATAATCTATAATTCATTTTTTTATAATCTCTGTGTATGTGCTATTTTACTTCGGTATTTTTCATTAAACTCAATTTTGGTTTTCGCTCATTTTACCTTCTGAAGCTTGAAGCTCAAAAATAAACTTTCGTTTATACAGTCTTTGACCCGCATGTTCCATCCAAAGGGGTGGAAAGCTTATCAAAGAATTGTCATACAAATGTTCCAAAATGAATTTGACGCTGGATGGATGGTGTACAAATATTTTGCATTTCGCTAAATTTCCACAGTGCGGGCATTCACAAAATAAGATTTTATGTTTAGCTTAAAACTGAGCCCTAACGGCCTTTGATCCGCACTTTCTCATGAATTTATTAGAAAGGTCGTGGCAATGAGTTTGCTTTCCAAACTTCGCCCATCAAAACTTTGACCCACATTTTTTATCCAAGAGATGTGTATTTTGGTAAAAATTTGAAACACGCTAAGCAAATTATTTTCTCATATATCTTTGAAATTGATTCTAAAGCCAATCGCATGGTGATCAAGAAAGTTGTAAATATTTTCATTAAATTCTCACATTTGCCAGTGGAATTCCTAACACCGCTAAAACACTTACGTATAAAGATCTCATGAAGAGCTTTAAAAATAATATGGAAGCTGATCAGATAAATCTTAAAACTCTGCCAACAAAAAATGTTTGAATTACATTTTCCACAGAGAAAGCTAGAGTTTTGCGAAAAGTGTGAAACATGTCACAAATACTTCTTCATACAGATCTTCGGAAATACATTTGCCCGCGAAACTTCACCCACCAAATCTTTAACAATCATTTTCAAACACATCTCAAACGAATTTGAACAATGATCTTTGAAAATGAGTTTGAGGCTGATAGGATGATTCAAAGACATTAAGAGCAAGAGACACTAAAGTTGGTATGAAGATTCTCGAATAATAT